GTAAAGTCGGCCAAAGCGATTTGTCATCCAGATTGGATATGCAAAATATGAACCAAAACAAGCAAGATACCAAAACTAGAAAAAGAGATTTGAGTAAAGAATGTACAAATATTTGAAGACAGGAATCTTGTCCTTAAAGTAATGTTGCGATCAGATAACTCAAACTCATTGTAAAACCAAACAAAGGTGTTTAAACGCTCAAACTTAGACTCAGTATTGTGTTTGAAGTAAAGAAGTTCTGTATTCTTTTTTGCTAACCTTGCTTTTTGAAATTAAAAGACCTATACTATTTGAAATCTTACTCTAAGCGGTAGAAAAAAGGCACAGCAAAAAGAAATATTGGTATTGAAAATTGTAATTGTTTGCGAGTAATCGCGTGCTCATCCATATTTACGAGAAACGATTTGAAAGAGAAATCTCCAAATTCCCTTTCATCTTCTTGTCGGCTTTTATCTTTAGAAATCCTTTCCAATCCCTATTGAGCAATCCAAAATTTTGGATGCAACAATTGTTTCTGTTTTTTCTCGAGATTTCTCATGGATTAGGGTTGTAAATTTTATTGTTGGCCTTGACATTGGACAAGGTTTAAAAGTTGTCGTTGTCTTTGTCTTTGTCGTTGTCTTTGTCGTTGTCTTTGTCGTTGTCTTTGTCGTTGTCGTTGTTGTTGTCGTTGTCGTTGTCATTGTCATTGTCGTTGTCGTTGTCATTGTCGTTGTGGTTGTCGTTGTGGTTGTCGTTGTCGTTGTCATTGTCGTTGTGGTTGTCGTTGTGGTTGTCGTTGTCGTTGTCATTGTCATTGTCGTTGTCTTTGTCTTTGTCGTTGTCATTGTCGTTGTCGTTGTCGTTGTCGTTTTAAAACTTGTCGAAAAAACAAGTTCTACATTTTAAATCTACCCTAACAAAGCTCTCAAAATCTTAAAAACGAACAAAACACTAAATCTAGTTTTCAGGACAATACTTTTAAATCAAAGAAATAGTTGATTAAGTCAAAAGTCTTCAGGTTCAAGGCAAAAAGTAAATCAAAAAGAATTGAGTGCACAACAAAGCACGACAACAAAGAGTGGAAGTCCGAGAATCGAGTTATGTCCTTTCTTTTGAACAAGAGAAAGAAAGTAGAGGAATAGAAAGAGAGATTCAAAGAGATTCCATCCAATGTGGAAGAGCATAATTTCCTGTCCAAAAGCAACCACGGCAACAAGAACAATCTTTGTCAAGTAATCGACTTTTTTAGATACAAAAGTTTAGCGATAAATTTGATTAGTCTTTTACTTTACGAAAATCTTTTAGTTTTCTGGATTATATGTAATGAAAGCTTTGTTTTTCTATAAAAAAAACTGAAATAGATCCGTTACGTGAGAACAGGAAGTATCAAAAAACGAAGGAAAAGAGGAAGGGGAAGAGAAAGAACAAAAGAAATCTGAGAAGAAGCTCTCATAATGGACTAAAACGAAAACAGATCTCAATATTTGACAGAAAGTCACAAATGAAAGTTGTCAAGTTATTGAATTCCTGATTTTATGATTGAAAATATGATTGGCTAGCGTCTAACTTCGTTCTGGAGAAGGATAGCGATTGACAAGGCAATCGTGGAGATTGACAAGTTAATCTAGTAAATCTAACTTCGTTCTGGAGCAAGTTCTTTTTGAAGTCTCATTGTAAGAATTAAGTTGAAAATCTAGAATTCAAGTAGCGCCAGGTGAACGTAAAGAAATTAAGACTAAACCTTGGAAACGAATTAAAAAAGGTCGTCGTCTAGAAAAAGAGAAGGACAGCTGCAAGGAATGCAAAACGGAAAACAAATCGTTTCCTTTATAAAAAAACTTAGCAATCCTTTCTCACTTATTGGGCGCAATTTCGCGAAATCCCATTATTGGCACCGAAATTTGTGGATTCGAGGAGGAAAAAAAGACTTTGATTGAACTGTTGCGATGTTTTGTGGATCTTGTTGGGGAAATGGCTATAAAAAGAAGGAAATTTGTTGAATATAAAAGCTCTACCTGCTTACTTTATTATTTTTAATATTTCAGGTTATTTTTTCAAAGAATTCTTCAACTTGTCAGCGTTCGATTTCTCTCTAAATTTCACTCCCCAAGAATCCTTTCAAATCCGAATCCCCAAAAGGCACAATGCACTGGAATTCGTTTAGGGGAAATAATTACGAAGTGAGCAGTTTGGGAATCGAATCGAAGAACATAGAATAGAGAATGGAAAAGAGAAGAAATGGGAGAAGGATTGGAAAGAGAAGAGATGACATTCGGGTCATTAGAGGATCTTCATCTAATCACTGGTTGCCCATTCAACAATGGAAGCTTAGAGATTCCTTTGGGTAAAATGTCGATAACAAAGAAAATATAAGATTTGTATTTGTTCTAGACTTCTGATACTGAAATCAGAAAGATTCTGACTTCATTACTTCATCGAAACTAGTAATAAACATAGTCTAGCTCATTTCTCTTCCACACAGTTTAGAATGAAGAATGGAAAGTCAAAGTGCTTGATTTTAGTTCTTTATTAAGTTGGCGAAAAAGTCCTGATATCTTTTTTCACCGTTTTCTTTCTAAATCTTTGAAAGTCCAAAACGCCCACTGCTGAGTTTGTTTAGTCTAGTATACTAGTATTGACTTATGCATCAATCTAATATTAACAGGATTGAAAACAAATACGCACCGATTGACGAACAGGAATTGTTGAGGTCGATGCTCTAGCTCTAGACTTCTGATACTGAAATTAGAAAGATTCTGACTTCATTACTTCATCGAAACTAGTAATAAACATAGTCTAGCTCATTCTTAAAAATAAATGAGTAAAATAAACGAGTAAAATATTCACCCTAATACTCTCAAAAAGAAAAAAAGAAGCCAAAGATTGAGAAAAGGAGTTGAAAATAGAAGAGAAGAGGTGAGCGGAAGCGGCTAATGGGCGCAGCAATCAGAGAGGCGCCACCGCTCCCTTTTCTCTCAATAAAATGGAGTGCAGATCTTGACTCAGAAAATGTCTATTTTCTATATTATACGACCTAGCTCGGAAAAGGTTGAGAGTACAATTTGATGCTTTTTCTTTTGGTTATTGATAGATTTGTTCAAGTCTGACAATTGCTCAAAAAAAATTCAAACACCGCTTCTATTAATGGCAAAGATAAAATATCTTCAAAGTATGTAAGTGTTTAAGTTTTTAGCCTCTAAAAGAATTAGCTGAAGCTGAAAAAGAATTTACGGGCTCTTTGATGATGAGAAGAGGTGGCTCAAAACAAAAGAATTGCCGACGAACACACATAACATAGCAGCACTTTTGCAAGAGTTTTCACGCGCCAATGAAGATTGTCTTTTCCTTTTCTTTTCCTCAATAAAGCCGTGCGTACGATTAAAGCACTTTGGAAAGAAGAAGAGAGGCAAAAATAGAGATGGCCTTGTGAACAAAATAAAGACAAATATGAAAAGTTAATCATGGAAAGAATGGAGATTGACAAGGCAATCTAGTAAATTATATTTTAGAGGTCTTCCGTAAAACCTAAATATTTCTTTTGATTGAAGATCGCTCGATTTTAAGTCGAAATGCTTTTGAGTCCAAATCTCAGAGTCATCTGTTCAAGTACTTTCGGCAGAGACGATTAAAGGAAGTTCATCAAGTCTTTCACGAATCTATTATTGGAGAAATTGAGTGTGCAAATTTGAGGACGACCGGTCGACCTTTGATTATTCGTTTAGCAGTATGTTAAAAGGAAAGCACCGCTGCTGCGATTTACATTAAAAAAATACAAATTTACACCCAAAAATAGCTCCAAAGTAAGAAAATATGAAACGACTACGGAAAAGTACAAATCCCACTCGATTTTTGTCTTGCTTGAATATCTTTTCTTCTCCAAATATGGCTATAAATTGTTAAAACAAAACCGTGTCTTTTTCTAGTCAGTTTTAAGTTTTTTGCTTTTCGTTTGTAAACGAGCCATCGTTCAATTTGAATCCTTCCACATTTCGTTATCATTTGGATTTGTTTATTTAGATTTGTGCAAGTAGCTCGTTGGATTAAAGTCAAATACAGATAACAAATAAATTGTGGTTGATTAAACGAAGTTTTTACAATAAAGTACCAAAAGACTAACTAGGGAACGACCAGATTTTGCAAGCGCGAATCCGAGCCAAAGCTATATGACTTACGCAAGTCGGACACGGGCAACACGATGGTGTTTTTAGTTTTTGCCCAAACGCTCTAGCTTTCTGTAAAAACGCATTTAAAATTTGACCAGCTAGTGCACTGAGCGACTGAGTTTGTAAGGACTCCCTTCGCTCAACGGAGAAGTGACTTAGTGGTGCAGTGGTAGTGCTCCCCGCCGTCTCCCATTTTTGGCATTCGAGTTCGATCCCCTTAGATCAATTTTTTTCTGATCAATCAATTCTGTTTTAATGCTCCGGTAGCCCTTACAAACTCATTAGTCGCTCAGTGCACTAGCGGGTCAAATTTCAAACGCGTTTTTACAGAAAGCTAGAGCGTTTGGGCAAAACCTAAAAACGCCATCGTGTTGCCTTCGACTTGTGTAAGTCATATAGCTTTGGTTCGGATTCGCGCTTGCGAAATCTGGTCGTTCCCTAGTAAAAATCTTGATCCAAACACATATACTCTGGTGTTAAGACAAGAACTTTTAGTATAATCAGTCTTTCTAGAGAAATTTTGTGATAAGGGATTAAGTTGCCACTTTTTTTTTGATAGTTTTACATGAGTATGCCATTTCAAAAGGTATTTCTTGGTTTTTCATTTAAGTGAAATGTTTTGAGATCTCTTCTCCAAGCTGCATCACTCTAATCGAATGTGACCACCCTTTTCTCGGTCCGGAGAAATAGAATTCACCCTCAAAGTTACCCCAAAAAGACTTTCATCTATAGGAATCCAACTACTGCTATTCTAATTCCTAATTTTTAGTTTAACCCATTTAGAAGAGTTCTTATTTCTTTTTACCTCAAAAAGCCAACTCCATTTCTGCACTTCCATCTCCCTAATTGACTGGAATGACTCTGGGGACAATCCACGAAGAGGGAAATGCCCGAATTCTCACAAGAAAAGAAATGGAAGAAGAGTTTATTGAAAGAGTTGAAAGGAGTGAAAGAGAAGGATCGGGCAGCTCGGTAAGACGGGAATCGAGTGGAAGACCGAGAAGAGGCAGAAGAAGGCAACCAATCAACACTCGAAACCTTCCGCCTGGGGTATATCCAAGATCCAGGTAAAATTTGTCGATAATACAGCTGTTTTTGAGTGATCTTGACTCGATTCTGATTCGATTTTTCTTTTCAGATCAAATTCTTTTGCTCCCGATCGTCCCTATTACGGTCATTACTATCCATCAAACAAACCGATGGAGTTAAGCGAAAAGATCTCAAAGGTAGCTTGCTTTGAAAACAATGTTAGAGTTTATTCAGTTTGTCATCGAGGCAAGATGCACCGACAAAATTCTATTCTCAATTGCAGCAACTATTGGTGTCATAGTGGTTTTTCTACAAGTTGTTGAGCTTTTATTTTGATTAGATCAAAAGTTTAGTCCTTGCCAATAGTGCTAAATAATTGGGTTTACGTCACCGAGCCACGGCCAATCAATAAAACAGGATTGGAAGGGGAACAACAGGTAAATAAAGTTTAATAAACTATTCCCCGGTAAAATAAAAGGCTTTTAATTATATCTAAAGTAACAATTAGAATCTTTACCAATGGAGCAATCAATTAAAGTTCGAGGATTCAAATTCTAATCGATTAATCGTTGGCTTCGCACTGGCTAGCTATTCAGCTAACAAGGGAGAGCCAAAAATGATTTTGCTATATACCATTCGACGCAGAATTTGACGCTGATTCAGAATATGGTTTCAGCTTTTGCTATGCATTACTCTATCAAAAGTTATACGAGTTTAAAGTTCACAAGGCATTTTCGAGCTCAAATTATGATAACTTAGTTTGCCAAAGGGGTTTTTGAGGTCCCGGTGGCTGAGTGGTAGTGGGAACGAAAAGTTTCTGGTTCGACTCCTTCATCTTTTCTCTCTTGCTTTTCAAGTCAAAAAGTAAAATTTTTTGTTTCAGAAAAGGTATTAATTGTGAGAAACACAACCTACAATTCCAGGAAGCCGTTTTCCACTACAACATTGGCTACTTGCAAATATGCCGCCGATTCCTTGAGAGTGAGCCTCCGAATCACAACTTTAACTATACTTATGATATGATACCCCGTAAGTACACAATAAGTTTTGTTTTCTATGGATTAGAGCTGCTTTAAACATTTTGAAATCATTTTTTATCGTTTAGAAAAAGAACGAGACTACCAATGCCATTTGAATCCATTGATTACACGAGAAGAACTCGGTGATGAGTTCAGTTTGGCTTCGCTGGCGATTAGTGGTGAATTTTGAAAGCTTAGAACAGAGAATATCTTGTTTTTCAGCTCGACTTGGTCTTTCAACGTTGCTTCATTTGATTGGTACAATTATCTGTGGAATGGCATTAATTCTTGCTACAACTGGTCACCTTCGACACACGATGCATACAATGATCTCTGGTGTTTGTTATATTTGCGGATGTAAGTCAAAAAGTCTAACCATTATCTAGAAAATAGGTTTAATTTTATCAACCGCTGTTTTGATGTTGGTTTGCGTTGTCGATGATGAGCTCTCACCACGTATGAAAATGAGTTCCTCTGGAGAAGCTACGAAATTCAGTTTTGCTTATGGTAAGTGGGGATCGTCAAATTACAGAGGATTCGTGACTACTGGAGTAGCAGGCCTGGATTAGGAGGATTTTCCCACATTTCCCACATTATGTCAAGAGCAAATTTTGAATCTATCCTTCGAGTGGGGATCGTCAAATTACCGAGGACTACTGGAGTAGCAGGCCTGGAATAGGAGGATTTTCCCACATGTCCCACATTATGTCAAGAGCAAATTTTGCAATTTTGAATCTATTCTTCGAAACCTGTGATACTGGATCCTGCAGGAGATCGGCTTTATAAGATTAGAGCTGTTATGGAACATTTCAATGCAAAATCAGCGGCTGCATTGATTCCGGGTAAATATGACACGTCTTTTTTTGCCCACGTAATTTTTAGATCTGCTACAATTGGAATATACATGTAATGCCGAAAAACAGCAAAAAAAAAGAAACAATTAATTGAATGAAAATAGCTCAATTAGCCGTGTAGCGAATAATCGTTGCAGTGGTCGGTTTTTGCTTTGTAGTTGAACTAGTCATAATAGAAAATCCAATAAATAATGGTAACGAATAATCGTTGCAGCGGTCCTTTTTGATGTAGCGATTATTCGCTGCAGAAGTTTCGGGTTAAAGAAACATTATAAAATATTAGAAAATAAGTTCAGGTTATCCATTTTGGTCTTCCGTTTCAAGCATTCTTCCTGTTCAAATGTGTGCTTGTCTTCAATCATTTCTCTACTTTCGTCGCTTTCCAACCGTTGTTGAAAAGCTCCAATATGTGCCAGGATTAGAAGAGAAATGTAAGAAACAATGAACAAAAAATTCAAATGAAGAAATTTCAGTGCGAAATGCACAAATGGATAAAGAGTTGGGCATTCCACCGATGGAGATTCATAAACGAGGATCTCTTGCCTCATACATGCCATTTCCATCATTTTCAATGGCTTTAAGTGGTCGTCCTTCACCAACAAGAAGTAGTCAAATGTCTCTTCGAAATAACTCTATTGTTTTTGTACAAGAAATGTGATTGCAAGAGTTCTTGAGCTTAAAGCAATGTGAATAAAGTTTAGCTAGCTTTCAGAGTCTTTGAAATTTCCTTTTACCCATCAAATCAAATCGAATCATCAAGGATTTATCAAAGAAAATGAATGTTTTGAAATTTTAATAAATAGTTTTCTACAGAAAAATTTAAACATTTTATATAAGATTTGAAAGTTTTTTTTTTTAAAAAGATGACTTAATGGTTAACATCTGATTCCGGTAAAATATTCTTTTTTTTACACTGGTTTAAATAAATACACTGGTTTTTGGAATAAATTGTCCAACCTCAAAATTGGTGGACAATACATCATATCGGAAAAGCTTATGAGAAAAATGATATTATGTTTATAGCGAGTAAAAACTCGCAGAGTTTCGCGAGCAAACATAATTCATGTTTATCAAATTTTAATATATAGCTTTATCTACAGAAAAATTTAAACATTTTATATAAGATTTGAAAGTTTATTTTTTTAAAAAAGATGACTTAATGGTTAACATCTGATTCCGGTAAAATATTCTTTTTTTCCACGTTGTTTCATCCGAAAATTTATCACAAAATTCTAATAGATTCTGTATTTGATTTTGATATTTTATTGGCAAACTTACAAAGCCAAATGAAAGCATTGAATTTTACCAGTTTATTTAAATTTGTTCCTAAACTTCTATAGATTTTTCTTCTTTCCTCGGTTACTTTTGAGTCCATCATTGGGGTTAAGTTCTCACTAAAGAATAACATTAGTAAACTCTTATTCAATCAATTAATATTATACATCTATGATTTCTTGCAGCAGGTCGAGTCTCAGCGTATGTCGTGGTTCTAGAATTGTTCGTTTGTCCGTACGCTTCGATTCATCAATACTTCTATGGTTTGAAACGTGTGAATAGAATCAAGTGAAAGATTTGAATGAAAAGAATGGAAAGATAACAATGGTGAAGGGTAAGAGTGAAAGAATAAAAGAATGCAAATGACACGATGACTTTTTGGAGGAAAGGAGTAGGAGGAGGGGAAGGAGTGGCCCCACTCATTCGCGTAGTCGTGTAGACCGATGCTCGTTCAACATTCAAACAAAAATTCAAACGATTGTAAGTAAGTCGTTTGCTTTCCTGCGGAATAGAGCAGAAATAGAGCAGAAATTCTTTTAAATATCAAATATTCTTTTGAATATACAAATCTACAAACTTTTTCTTCAAAACTTTTTCGAAAAGTAGCTGGAAAATGTTTAATTTATTTCAAAAGTGTTAAGTGTTATATAGTGAATTGTAGCCCTTAATCTTGGCTACATTTATCTATCAAACACTTCCCGACTCAACTTATACAACTCATTTAACAATGTTGAACATGTCGCCGGTTCGCCATTTTCCCTTGTTGATTGATTTTCAACTCTCGAACTCTAAAGAAAATGAAAATTTTTACAAATTTGCAGTAGATATTAGAATCGTTTTTAAATTTATTTTATCAATAGCTATCTCGTCAAAGTTATTCACTCTATTTAGATCAGTTCTTCAGAATTAGGATTGCATTCTTTTTGCTTTTATTCTCACAACTTCTTTTTTTTTCTTCTGTGTTTCTAGTGATTATTGTTGGTTTAGATATAATCTTTATTACAGCAATAATAGTTGGTTCAGTGGTTTGGGATTGGGAGAGTAGAGACGACTCCACGGCACACCACGGCAGCTCGTTCACATTGCTTTTATACAGAATCTCGTTGGTCTCGACGTTGGTCTCGTCTTGCACACAATGGAGTTGAACGGATAGCGACGCATATTAAATCTCGCACAATAGGCGTTCGCTCACAAAGGTGTCTGCCTGGCCATTTCCATCCGTGGTGATCTCGATATCGTCACGATATCGTCACGATATCGTCACGACAGTGATGGCTCAGGAATTTCTTGCATAGAGAGGGTCGTAATATGGTAAAAATCATGAAAAAACATCCAAATTTCTCCCCCGCCCCCCAAAAAACTCATTTTCGCACCATACCTACCGCCTTGAGCCATCAGAAATATTTTTAAAATTTGACCTGAAGTGCATTTTTCTTTGGAACACCATGTAGTGTCGTTTCTTCAGTTTTTTGCTGCCCCTGCGGACCGAAATCCTTGGGATGAATCCAAAAATTCACAGCGGCTCCCTTCAGCACCCTTTTACAGGCACTTGGGATCCCATTTCGACCGGCGGAGAACCCACCATTGTGGCCAAAATGAGCCGGAACTGGGTTTGCCAATTCTACAGCCGAAGTTAGTTTTGGGAAGCGGTGACCATATGGGGCAGACAACGGATTGGTTACCGGATGACCCAAAATGGACGCTTCCGATTGGACTGGTGAAAAAAAACGATATCTGCTGGTGTAGTATGCCAGATCGAGTGCGATTGTGCACGCGCACAGGGAACACACCGTGATCCGCTTTTTTTGCATTTTAAAGTTCAAAAACTTCAAATTTTTGAAATTTGGAGTTGAACGAATAGCGACGCATATTAAATCTCGCACAATAGACGTTCGCCCACATAGGTGCCTAGCTGACCATTTCCATACGTGGCGATCTCGATCACAAGATCGTCATGACATTCTGTAAAATCGACCTTTTCACCATTTGTAACATTTTTAATATTATGTCCAAGACTGAGATAATAAAGTGTGAGAAAATATGTTTCAGGTAATCAAATTTCAGTCGAATAGAATGAGAAATTCTATAAAATCAAACGTAGATTTGTTAGAAATGATGATAATAGAAACATTTTGGTCTTCTGGCGAAATATTAGGTTGATGCATAAGTCTTTTTGTTCCTTTTCGTCTGCCGTTTCAAGCCAACAAATGCACCAATTAAACTACGGTTGATTTCATTAGAAAAACCAATTATTTTTCTGCAAAATAACATTAAAACGGGTTTAAAAATATTTTATGCCTGGATTTTCTTGAGAGTATGAAGTCGGGTAGTCAAAAAGGGCTAACTCGATGATGCGGTTTAGACACCTTAGCTAAAGAAAACCTATCTTCGTGTCAATAGATAAAAGATAGAGAAAAAAAAGTTTGATATTTCGCCAAAATTTCTGAGAAATTCATTCAGCCAATTTTTTCGTAGAGTTTTTTATGGATTTTTACGAAAAAGGCGTTTTTCACTCTCGAATTTGCTTGAAAGTGAACCGAAATTGATTTAAAAAGATGGAAATTGAACAAAAAAACACTTTTTTTATAGAGCAAACTATAGATTAATTGGTGAATTTGTTACTTTTTAACAGAAGTACGAAAAAAACGAAAAGACTTATGCATCAACCTATTAGTTATTTGCTATAGTTGAGAAGCAAACTCGGATCGACGCATTAATGTTTTGAAATGAAACTCAGGAATGAACTGAAAAGTTGGAACTAGGGCGGAACAAAAAGTGCACCGCTGGGACTCGAACCTGCAAGCTTCCGCTTACCGGGCAACTGTGCTATTACACCAGCACGCACTTGATCTCCTTTACTTCAGTGGGAGTTAAGTGGAATGAAGAACAAAGTGAAGAATCACTGGAATGATGAAAATCTTTGAAGGCTTTGGAAATTTGTCTATAGAAAAAGAACTTGCTTTTTTGCGTTTTGAAATTTTTATTGACTAGAGTGTGTTCCTCGAGAGTAATGCGTTTTTTAAAACGCACACTTGGGAAAAAAATTACCGTACTTTTAGCAAAAATTCTTGCAAGAAAATGACGAGCCCCGCATTATATACAGTACTGGGCAATGAAATATGATATTTGAAAAAAGATCGTCACTTTCGCGCGTCTGTAACTCCCCTTCTCTTTGAGTTTAAACTATTAGTGTTATACATTTTCTGAAAGCTCTTTTCAACGGCTACACAATGGTAATATTAATATTTAGAAATACGGTAAAGACATGAGAGTTACAGACGCGCGAAAGTGACGATCTTTTTTCAAATATCATATTTCATTGTCCAGTAGTGTACGTCACTTTTTAAAGATACTCAGCCGTTTAACTGATTTGTTGGGAAATTCCCTTCCAATGTAAAAAATACCTTTTTTGAAAAAGCTGCGCAAAAAATTGGTTTTATATTTTTTCGCGCAGGTACACTTTTAAAAAAACGCATTACTCGGCAATTACTCGAGCTATTACTCGAGTAAGAAAATTACTCATGCAAATTTACTCGAGTAATTACTTTACTCGCGAGGAACACACTCTAATTTTCTCGGTCTCAGACAGAGCGTTTGGGTTTTCGGTTTGACTGACCGAACCGTACCGAACCATATCAACATCTTTATCGCAAGATATTTAAACTTCAAGCTTTGGGATTATATACGATTGAGGATTGAGGATTGTCATAATTGTACCAGTTGATACCCAGTGAGCCCAATGTTAGGATTGATCGAGAGCTGAATGGTACATAGTAATGATTAGAGTTAACTTCCTCAGCATAAGATTTTAAAAAAAACGGACTATAAATTAGCAAAGTCGATTCTATTGAGATGATTTTATGGAGAAAAATCCGGGTTTTAGTTTCGAGTTTTTGAGCTTTTAAAGCTTCTTTCCTAGACTTTGCTAGAGCTTTTCTCAAAGAATTACTGAAAAAAAAGAGTCATGACAGAATAAGCTTTAATAAATACGCGATGGTTCGAGTTGTTGAGCTTTTAAAGCTTCTTTCCTAGACTTCGATTAATCGAGTAAAAAAATTACTCATGCAAATTTACTCGAGTAATTACTTGCGAGGAACACACTCGATTATTGACACAAAAGTGTAAATTTTATGCTTTAAAGAAAATTTATTAGGTTTAAATAAGCGGAATGATGGACGAAGTTTGGAGGTATTGCACAGTTTTTGTTGATGACCCGGAATGGAGAGAAAAAGAAGAAATTCAGCTATTCAGCATCTAAAACTCGTTAAGTAACATTTAAAGAGAACCCAAAAAAAACTGTCACAACTTACCAGGTCGATAGAATTTATCAGCATACGGCCAACCATCTCTAATCTGTTGCATGATGAACTTCTCAGCGATTTCTTTCTTATTTTCTTCAGCTACAGGATTAGCTGGGATGTTCAAGGGTTTAGCAAAACCATCATCAGTCTAAATTTTTGAATGAATTAATTCTCCAAAGTTTTTACTTCTTTTGAATCTCTTAAATTGATGGGTTTCTCTTGAGCTTTCATCGTTTTCACTGAATGAACTCGAGCTCTTCGGAAAGGATCAAGCTCTCGAAGATATTGTCTCTAAAATAACTTTAAATCTATGAACTGGGTATGAGTTTTTAACCTCAGTTGTTGTTGGTTCAATAGTTTCCGTTGTTCTTGTTATTTTCTCTAAAATCTCGATCTGATCTTCGTTGTCTAACGGCCATTCAGTTATAGAACCTGGAAAACGGCATTGATAGCTGATAACCATTGATAAATCTTATCAATTAAATTCTAATGTGTATTATATTAAAGTTAAATTAAACCTTCTGTAGTTGTTGAGATTTTTCGGCCTCGCTTTGAAGAGACATCTTGCTCATTGTCATCCATTTCAAAGTGTCCAATAAGTGGAATCAATTTCTATAATTCAAACATAACACCACTAGATATAGCTTAGAAAATTAAAAACTCTACTTATCAATCTAATTGGCACTAAAAAAGTCTACAACTCTTTACTTCAATAGTCTCATCATCATCTTTGAACTCTGTAGAGATCTTTCGTCTCTTAACCGCTGACATATCAAGTCGTTCAACTTCTCGAAGACCATTTCGATGCTAAATTTTCTTCTTGAAGATTAAAGCCTTTGATTCTACTCGAATAGCTGTAGCAACAGCAGAAGATCTTGGCATCAACATGTTTGAGACAAATGTATCCGATCGAATCACAGTTCGCTCTGTTGTAGTTCCCAGAAGTTCTCTGCTTGACAAAGAAACCTAAATCCAGTCTTTTTGTATAAAACCTTTCATTTAAACTTGTCTCAGTTTTGAAGCGATTCGAATATTATTTGCTTGAATGGTTGATGATTTGGGGAGTGGTCTATCCTCAAGTATATTCTTCGCTGTATCATAGTGTTCACAGCAAATCGATCTCTTCAGACCGCCATAACAAAATTGGTGTTTCTAAAGGAGAATCGGAATTTGAGTGTATTTTTCACTTACACTCGGGCATCTTTTCTTTGAGTGGCAAATCACTCGCTGTCCTCGCTCATTGAGGACACCGATTGCATGACTTGGGCACTCGAGGGTTTTCTCAGATCGAGGAACTGGATCTACCTAAAAGATTAGCAAATTTGATCATAAATCTAAAGCTAATCGAAAACAAAAAGTTGTGAAATGTGAAAGATTTTTGTAATAATAAACAATCGGTGGTGAAATGGTGGTTGGAATGGTGAAATTGTGGTTGAAATAACAAACAACAACAAACAACAACAAACAAAACAATAAACAACCTCTTTTGGTGGTTCTCTTCCGATCGCTTTCTCGCAACAAATATACGCCATTCCAACATCCGAACAAAATTGAGTTTTCTGAATTTTTGAATAGAATTCAGCAAAGTTTTGAAGGATTTTAAAGAGATTTTAGATGTAATTGTTCGATCTTAAAAACAGAAAACAGAATTCAACTTCGATCCTTACTCGTGGACAAGTTCTCGTCCTTGCACTGCACTTCAATGGATACCCATCATCAGCCAATACTGTTAAATAAGGAGGACTACAGGTAGGCTAAAATATTCGTATTTTTGTAAAGGTTTCTTTCTTGTAAAACCTGTGAGTCTTCAGTTGGTTCATTCGATGGACAACAAACGTAATTCATTCCAGTGAAAAAGCAAGCGTGATTATTACCACAAACAACTTTTTGAGATGATCCTGTGATAATAACAACATCAAAAACAAGATTTTAACATTAATTCGATTGTTTTGCTATTCTTTAGTGGGAAATTAGCCCCAATGATGGACTCAAAAGTAACCGGGAAATCTACAGAAGTTTACAGAAGAAGAAAAATCTACAGAAGTTTAGGAACAATCGATGGACAACAAACGTAATTCATTTCAGTGAAAAAGCAAGCGTGATTATTACCACAAACAACTTTTTGAGATGATCCTGTGATAATATTTTTGGGAAAAGAACAAAATTAAAAATTAGATTGTTTTCTTACCCGGCAAGCATTGAATCGCCTTTCCATCATCATTCATTTTTGGTGCTTGACCGTTCGGACATGTTGGTTGTATTAGTGCTAAAATTTTTTAAATTTCTGATTTCTTTGTTATTTTATCTTTTTTAAACGAACTTTTATAGATTTAAGACATTTTTTTTTGTTGGTAATGCGTGGAAAATTAGATTCCGGTCTTGAGACATTTCTTTCTAGGCTTTCTCCTTTCACTTAAATGAAGAACGGGATTTGGGGAAAAAAAACTGGCTGCATGGGTTTATTCAAAAGGTCAAACGGGATTTGATAGTTATTTTTTCTTTGTGCTGCTAACAGTTAGTTTTATATTGGAATTATTGAAAGATTTGTTACTATTATAGCAAGGGAAAAGGTAACAATACCGTATTTTCTAATAGTAGTGCACCCTGAGCGTCGCCTAAATTCCTCGAAATCTCGAGAAACGCTTATCAGAACCTATCGATGTGGGGTCGGAAAATGTAGCTGACGATGAGATCTTGTTGGGGATTTGAGTGTTGAGCTTCTGGGATAACTTGGAAACCGTAAAATAGCCACCAACTCGGCACTACTATTAGGGCCAATATGGTAACCATTCCATTCCCGGTTTGGTTATTCACAAAACCGTATTTTCTCTAATAGTAGTGCACCCTAAATTGCTAAATTGCAGTCGCCTAAATTGCTCGAAATCTCGAAAACCGCTTATCAGAACCTATCGATTTGGGGTCGGAAATTTGTAGCTGACGATGAGATCTTGTTGGGGATTTGAATGTTGAGCTTCTGCAAAAGCTTGGAAACCGTAAAATCGTCACCAACTCGGCTCGCCGGGGTGCACTACTATTAGAGAGAATAATCAAAATCAAGTAATTAAAAACTGCAAACTGCAAATGCAAAAGTGACCAGGCCTTGTTTTGGTAAATAGTCCGTATGCTTTAAAACTATAATATTGTGAAAGCGAGGTGTTCAATTCCCACAAAGCCAAACAACAACACCCATTTTATTGGAAAAAATTTTCTGAATCTGAAAAAGTAAATCTCTGATGTAATTTTTGAAAAAATATCCTCAAAGTTCATGCTTTTAAAAGATTTTTTGAATTTCTGGCACATTTGCGTCCAGCTTCTAATCCTCGATTACAATCTGTTAAAAAGTGCCTTAAAGCCTAGTGGTTAATGCGGGCTTCTTCTGCATTTTTGCTTCCTGCTTCAATGCCGCTTACGGACAAACTTTTTTGTTATTTTATAAAATAAAAACTTTCAAGACCAGCAAGGCTTTCATTTGAAAAAGCTAAAAGTATCATTTTTGGCATTTTTTTTGACACTTTTTGATAGAGCGTAATTGAGGATTAGAAGCTGGAAGAATGGTAGCCAGAAATTCGAAAAACCTTTCAAAATCATGAACTTTAAGGTCATTTTTCTCAAAAATTTTGTCTGCCTGGGACACCAGAGATTTACTTTTTCAAATTCAGAAATTTTTTCCAATAAGATGGGTGTTGTTATTTGGCTGGAAGCGTTGGCAATCTGTGCTGACAGATGAAAAATTTGAAACCGATTGCTCGGAAAGAAATATCGCTAACCTTTGCCAACAACCAAACTCGAGACAAGAAGTAGCAATGGTTTGTGCAAGCCCATATGTAGACAATACCAATAAAAACTATAGAAAGAAGACTTTATGAGATCTAGGGACAAGCAATGGAGATGAGGAGAGCTCAGAGATTAGAGAGAAGGAATGGGAGAAGGGGAGGGATGATTTGGGTCAACGGATTCTCATCACAGACAAAGAATGGAAAAAAGAGACTGAGATCAGTCTCTTTTTATCAGTCTTATCTCAAAAATCTCATCTTTTAGGAATAACTATACGGATTATTTACCATTCCTTGTGGATTATGCAAGAAAATCATTAGAGAAATGGGAAAATAAGTGCCTGGAGAAGATGAAAGCTTTGTGTAAGGCAAAATTAGAATTTTCTTGCGGGTTACTGAATGAAAGAAGAGTTTCTGCTTGTCATTTTGATGTTTGATCTTGTTGTTGTTGATCTTGTCGATCAATAGATCTTGTTGTACGGTTTTAACAGATAAAGTACAAAAGAACTGACTCACAACACAGAATATTGGGTATTGTTATAAAAATCCTTGATTTCCAAGATTCTCTAACTACTTCTTTGCAATTTTGAAACACTAAGAGAATGTGTAATCAACTTAAATTCCCCTTCTCATGCCATATGATTGCCCTTTTCATTGAGCCGACACTTTTTCGCGTTCAAAGTTGCGTGGTGTACATTGTTGTTTTAATCGAAATCTCGTCTGTTCAAAAGTCTATTTATTCTCGTGTGTTATGAATGAATTTCCTGGCCCAGAAAGGGGAAGACTCATTACACGAATCCATTCAGAATTTTTGGCAACCGCTTTGCGAAAGGGATGTGCGTTGCGGTTATCCCCCAGGCACAATGCAATTTCCTTTCCACATCGCATCACAAAATAAAACCCCTTATCTTGAAATGAGTCTAGCTTTTTACAAAAAACTATTGCTTGCTTTTATTTATTTAAAATGACATTTTAACCTTTTGTTTATCATTTCAGAAATGGGCAACGCGGGAGCTAAAGCGAATTTCAAGCAAGCTGTTTTGGATTTAACATCAAAGCCGGGAAAACAGGTAAAAGATTTATTTAATTGCGTTTTCTTATCTTTATAAATTTATCTATCTACATAAAAATGAATAAAAAAGCAATGTTATTATCGAAATTTATCAGGACGATGACGCTTTTTGGGATCAACTTTGTGCTGACAATGCTGCCTCGGTTTCTGACGTGTTTAACCTCATCCCAGCTGAGGATATACGACAATTACGGTAAGAAAAAACTCTCTTATTTCTTCTCAAGTTTCTATTTTTCTTAAAACCAAGCACGTTTAGTGAACATAATCCAAAAAATCTGGCAACTCTCTGCTACAAAGCTGTCGAGAAACTGCAAAATGGACGCGACAATCCTCACTCAATCAATCCAAAGAAAGTAATTAGAAATCAATTGCCAAATAAGTTAAGATATATTAGATTATCAATTGTGTTCGACTTTTGACAAGGTTGTTGCCTTGTATGTTAGAAGATGCAGATTGGAGAAACTACTTCTGGTCACCGATTCCATCAGGAGATTCACAGGTGTGGAAAGATTTCAAGTCTAGAAAAAGTAATACCGATTTTGTCCATATCTTCTTTTAAACATTACAATGATAGAATACAAGATAGCTTTTCTAGATTCCTCTTGCAAGTCTCCTTCTTGGCGTTATCGAGGATTTACTCTTTTGTCCAGACTTCACCGTCTCTCATCTCCCTGGTCAACCGGTAATTCTAAAACTAAGGTTATTTGAAAAGAAATTTTAGGATAAAGTTGATGATTTGCATCGACTTGAGTCATGCGAATATATTTGGGAAGCCGGAGTGGGATTTGGGACAAAACCACCAACAAATGCTGTCCAAGATCAACATCGGGGCGAGCTTTTGAAGTTGTTGCTTGTGTGCTTCTCTGAAGTTATCTATACACCGACGACTGGTATTTTAATACAAAAGAATTCTCTTTAATCTTAATCTTTACTAAAGAAACTTTAAGAATTCAACTTTAGAAGAAGACAGAATGCGTTGGATTAGTCGTTTCACATCGGGAGAGAATCGTCATGTCCTCCCGTTATTCACTTCATTGTTGAATGTGGTAAGTGTAAAGGTAGCTTTATCTGAATGAAAATCTTCTCAGGTGTGTGCTTATGATCCGGTTGGAATGGGGCTACCATATAATTATTTGTTGTTCAACGATACACGAGAACCATTGGCAGAGATCGCACTTCAAGTGTTGATTGTTTGTCTTGACAAAGATAGTCAACCAACAAATGATGAGGTACGTGAATTCTTCAGCTTTCCAGAAAGTCGGTAAGCTTTCCAGAAAATCGGTAAGCTGTCCAGAAAGTCAGTAGGCTGTCCAGAAAGTCTTTTCTTTAATTTTCATACTTTTGTTTTAAAATAACAAATCTATCAATTATGGTTTACTCCTAAATAAAAGTCTTCTTCTATTTCCATCTTTTTAATTCAATTTTCGCTCACTTACAAGCAAATTTTTAGTTTATAAACGTCTTTTCCATAAAAAAAACTAAACATAAGACATTTTAAAACCGTTTTAATGTTATTTTTGCAGAAGATTAATTAACTTTTCTAATGAAACAAATGCTAGTTCAATTGATGCATTTGTTGATTTTAAACGAGTATGAAAAGGAACGAAAAGACTTTCTGGCCTAATAAATTAACTGAAATCAAACATTACTTTGAAACAAAATCCAATAATCATTACAGAAAATGACAGAAAATACTTTAGACAGGCTATGCTGACAACTATTTCATCAACTATCTTTCAAGAATACATCGAGAAGAGGATTTCGATTTCATGTTGAAGGTGAATAAATCAAACAGCTAACTATGACAAGTCAAACTTTTGTCTAAAACGATTTCAGGGAATGATCCGTCTCCTCGCAAATCCTCTTCAAACTGGCTATCTGCCAAATTCAACAAAGAAAGTCAGCTTCCATCAGGAACTCTTGGTTCTACTATGGAAATGTTGTGAATACAATCAGGTTTAAAAATAAATAGATCAACATAAAATAAGATAAATCATAAGAACATAAACCGATTATCATAAATAATCATTTATCTAATCATTGATCTAATCATTGATCTAATCATTGATCTACTCATTGATCTAGTCATTGATCTAGTCATTGGTCTAATCATTTATCTAATTGATTTTGAGCTTTATTTAGAAATTCATGTTCTACGTATTGAAAACAAGTGATGTACTGGAGATTTTGGTGCCGATTCTTTATCATGTCTGTGAAGCAAGAAATGATCCCTGTAAGTTCAAAGATAAATTTGATTACTGCTTTAAATGCTTTAAAACTTAAACCCTAATAGCAATTTATATTTTAGCAAGAGTTGGCCTCATCCACATGGGTGTTTTCTTGATTCTTCTTTTATCGGGCGAGAGGAACTTTGGTGTTCGACTTAATAAACCTTATGTTTCAAAGGCACCAATTGAGATTCAAACATTCACAGGAACACATGCAGATCTCTTGATTCTGGTTAGTTTACAATTTCAATCCATTTAGTGTTTAAAGTCTTCAGGTTTTTCACAAATTGATTACCACTGGGAATCACAAATTACAGTCACTCTTTGACTGTTTGTTGACGATTATTGTTAATGGTGAGTTTAGCACGAAATCATTGAAAAATCGAATTTCATTTCAGTTTCTCCTTACTTGAAATCACTTTGCATGTTGTCGGCGAATAAATTGGTGCATCTCGTTGAAGCATTCAGCACTCCATGGTAGCAGATTCAGCACACTCCTAAGCCTAAGCCTAAGCCTAAGCCTAAGCCTAAGCCTAAGCCTAAGCCTAAGCCTAAGCCTTTAGCCTTAAATTAAACCGTTATAAGATTTATCCGTACTTGATGATCAAACAAGCTAAATCATGTTTAGGTTCCTCTACTCATCTCCCACAAATCATCATCTCGTGTTCTTCCTGCTGGAAATCTTCAACAACATCATTCAGTATCAATTTGACGGTAATTTAACTTTGAGATTTTATAGAAAAGTTTACAGGCAATGCCAACTTGATCTACACGATCATTCGAAAGCGTCAAGTCTTCTATCAACTAGCGAATCTTCCAACGGATGCAACAAACATTCAGAAATCGCTTGCAGGTTTGTTTTATAATCAGTATAATATTGAAATCTATAACAATATTATTGATTTGATTTAGGAAGGAAATCAAAGAAGCAAAGTGAAATCGTGGATGATCTTAAGAGTCCAACAGCGCCAAATGCGCCAAGCAGTACAGCTGGCCCATTGTTAGCTGAGGTTCCTGGTGTAGCAGCTATGACTGGGACTGGACCTTCTACTTCAAAGGTAATATTGATATCTTAGCATTATAGATTTTATTATAAGCTTAGGAAACAAACGAGGAATGGGTTCCATCAACGGAATGGGCTGAGAATTGGAAAGCTCGTTTACCGCTTCAAACGATTATGAGACTTCTACAAGTTCTTGTTCCACAAGTCGAGAAGATTTGCATTGACAAGTAAGAAAAAGAATAAGAAATAGTGAAAGAAGAAATTTTTTTTAGAGGATTAACGGATGAGTCTGAGATCTTGAAGTTCTTGCAACACGGTACTTTGGTCGGTCTTCTACCTGTGCCACATCCGATTTTGATTCGGAAATATCAAGCAAATGCTGGGACGAATCATTGGTTCAGAACATATATGTGGGGAGTAATCTATTTAAGGTAAGTATCCTTAAAGCAAAATCGAGAAATTTGATTCCCACTTACTTTAGAAACACCGATCCTCCAATCTGGTACGACACCGACGTTAAGCTGTTCGAGATTCAAAAAGCCTAATTATCTCTCTATTCTTGTACAAAAGCCATACTCTTTTTGTCCACAGCTATCACTGTTATCAACTTTTATTGGCCATTTATATTTCAAGATTTATAACATATCACTTTCATTAGTAATTACCCTTTTTAGTCTAGTCTCTGTAGGTTTTTATGGGTTTTCCTTATGTGATCTATCTCTATTATCAACAATCTTTTCCATTTCAATATCGCTTTTCATATTTCGAGTGTTGTGAAAGCAGCTATTAATAATGCTAGTGATAAAGATGGACATCAAAAGAACTGATTCAAGATTTCTTCAATGCCTATTCTGTTCTTCTAATTGTTGAATCGACTTGTGGTTGTTTTTAAAATGTTCCTTATGAAATTCGGTTACAGAAAACCACAATTCACTTAGTACACACTAGTGCAAAAACATTTCACTCAAAGACAGACTACCTAGAGAAAATTTCACTCAAAGACAGACTACCTACCTGAAAGGGTCGATCCATTTAAATGCCCACAAGTAGCTGAGTATTTCCTTCTCTTCCCTTGTATTTCTTCTTATCTTCCTCTTTCTTCTCTCACAAGAAGATACCAGATAGCTCAGTAGTCAGAGCATCTACCCGAAAAGTAAAAATTAAACCCTTGACGAGCTCAAACCCCTCTCCGGAATCTTTCTTTGCCATTTCTTTTATATAGGAACACTCATCGTTGTTCCATGTACTTTCACAGTGAGTATTTGTTCATTTTGATGTCGGGGTGAAAGGACACAAGAAAGAGAGAAAAGAGAAGAAAGAGTGACTCAACCATGGACACAATAGCCACTAGATCCCCCGCAATGAAAAGAGAAATGGTATTGCATTTGGTTCCATCAAGCACCTGGAAAATTTTCGATCAATCGATAATTTACGAAATTTACGATACCCTTACAATCATTACAATGTTGTTAAGACTCTTACAATCCTTACAATGTTGTTAAGAGTCTTACAATCATCACAATGATTGTAAGAGTCTTAACAATGAATACAAAGCAAGATTACGATAGGCAACTGAATTTACCAAAATTTGATCACGGTCAACTTTGAAATGAGGTTGAAATGAGTTCAACAGGTGATTTCTTACGCATTTACATACAATTAGACACTAGAGTGGTTATCTATTTGACTAAATGAAAGAAAGATATGAAAGGATCAAGCGTTTACCTGCCAACTTTATCATTCCAACTCGTATTCCCCTGCCCGAGGTATGGCAACTCTCAGCCCTCTCCTTTTCCCATTCTCCAATCTCTGTCACTTCTATCCTCGTTCACCTTGTCGATTGTCCATTTCTCTTTCCATCTTTCCCCTTTTCCTTTTCCTTTTCCAATTCTTTTCGTTCTCTTCCATCACCCTGTCTGGGCGTGGCTGTGTGCGGGTGCCCCATCCATCCCTTCTCTTTTCATCCCATGCTAACCCTTCCTCTACCTCTATATTTTTACTATTTCCTCATCTAGTTTATTGCAATTATCATTCTTTAATCACTGATCTCAAAAATGAGTTACAATCATCTCTTCAAAATTGTCGTGGTCGGTGATCATAATTGTGGTGAGTTTAAGATAATCTAATCAGTCTAATCCGATCACCGAAACTTATTTTAAAAGTTTTCTTTATAGTATTATTGAAAAGTCATCTTAATGACTTAAGTTTTGCAAACGTTAAAGTTTAACATAGTGCTGTCTTGGATATCTATTAGCTGCAATTTTGTGAGTAATTCTCGATGTTTTGGGGTAAAAAAAGTGGGGGAAATTCCCTGGAAAAGTGGGAGAGTCTCTCAAGGGAAAAGTGGGGTCTTCTCAAGAAAAACGGAAAAGAAATCGAACACAAGCACAAACTTTTCTTCAACTCTATTACCTGAGACCAAGAATTCTCTTGAAGAATTTGACAAATGTCCCAAAAGGGATAGCAAATCTTGCTATTTGCTAATCAAATAGCAAGTTTTGCATTACCAAAAAACATTCAATAATTGGCATAACTTTGGTTGGAGGTTATTGATGGCCATAATCCTCATCTATTCAAATATATCAGGATGAATCCACCAATGACAAAGAGACAAAGAGAAAGATTCTTTTCTACTCATGCATTTGTCGTTTTTCTCTTTTTCTTTCCTATCTCCCGTTCGATCTTTTTCTTTGACTAGGATTGCGCAAACCGCAGCCCTATCCCCCTTGTGCATCTTTTTTAGTAATTCCTGGTTTTCCCCATTCCATCAATGTTATACCAATTGATTGGGAAAAATTGTAAAAGAAAACTATAAAAGAAAACTTATTAAATTAGAACGTTTAACAGTAAAAGCGATCATCTATTTCCTCTAAAAATAATCCTATTTGCAAGAAATCTTTGGCATGAGCTTTTGGGTCTTTTCTATCAATTATTGCCCACTCTTTGATGTCTCTGTAAGCAAATAGTGAATGAAAATGGAAAGAAGGGATTGAGGGGGAAGAAAGGAATTCTTTCTCACTCAGATGCCCTGTTGGTTCAATATTTGTGTGTACTGTCATGGGTCAATGGATGAGAGTTTGCTAAGGAATAGTTGTCTTTGAAGCTTTCTCAGACTACCAACATTAAGTAAATTGTAAATCAAAGACGAGAAACCGAAGATTTCCACAAACTTCAGCTTATAATCCATTCGATAAACTCGAGCCTTATAGCTATTAATGTTATTATAATATTCCGGAGAGGGGATTGAACTCGTCGAGGGTTCGTCGAGGGTTCAATTTTTACTTTTCGGGCCGATGCACAAACTTCAGCTTATAATCCATTCGATAAACTCGAGCTTATTAATATTTGCATTGTTGATTCCATACGGTTTGGGGTCAACGATGAGTCCTTCCTTTATCCCATCCTCTTTCCAATCCAATCTCCCAATACTCAAGGAGGATCCTCTCTTTTAGCTGTTTTCTCATCCATTCCTCTCTTTTTCTTCACAAGAATGGATCGGATTTCCGGCCTACTCATTTCTTTCAATCACAAATAGAAAAACTCTGTAAAAGAGTTTATTATTGATGACTATTTCTGGGTTAAAAATAATCTTAATTAATCGATTGAAACAAGAACAATTAATGACTAATTTTAAGCTAAAAATATCTAAAATAACAATAAATAATTAACAAGTCGAAGCATATAACAGTTCTAAATTAAAAACGAAAAAAAAATTTGTTAGCTCATTGTTTAGTTTTTGCAACATATGGAGCTCTGAGATTTTTTCAACATCTTTTTCTCAATGGATTTTTTGATGAGTGCATTTGGGGGATTCTTTTCTTTATTGGTAGTCTTTTCTTTATTTCTTTTCGCCTTTCACCGGCATCTTTTCCATCTTTCAATACCCAGCTCTCCCTTTCCCTTATAAATGACCCAACCCTGTCTGCCCATTTTTTGTCTTTCGAGGAAGAGAAAGCGGCAACTAAAACGGAATCATTAAAGAATTTTCGGCAATTTACATACAATTGATTGAAAGACAAGACTAAAGTTGTTATACTTATTGAAAATATATACCGTATTCTCTCTAATAGTAGTGCGCACTACTATTTTTTGAACCCCCTCCTGGACCGCAATACTATTAGAGAGTGCAGTACTATTAAAGAGTTTTATCATTTACCAAAGTAAGACAGATCTTTGTTCCAAAAATTCTTGCAATTCTTTCACGTACTCTTTTGGCTCCTTTTGACATACAGTTGTGGGCCGGCGAGTTGACAATTTGTGTCTTGACAAACAACAAAAAGATGTTTTTGCACTTTGCACAACAATTTTAGATTTTTTTGCTAACTTTTTCATGTGAAGAATAGTTAATAAATGAATAAAAAAAGCCTCACTTTTGCTTGCTTGAATAGCTTTAGAATGTCACATAAACATAAAGTCAAAAAGGTTTAGATGAAAAAGAAGCACCAGAAATTCAAATTTTCGAGGGTGCACTACTAATTTTTCAACCCCCACTCGAACCGCAATACTATTAGAGAGTGGACAACTATTAAAGAGTGCACTACTATTAAAGAGAATACGGTATGCTTTATTCAGTTGAATAGCGACTAAAACAAAAACTTTTATTAAAGTAAAGTGAAATTTTTAAACCAAGTCAAACTTTTTAATTGTTCCTATAATACCTTGAGAAGTGTGCATTTTCCCTTATGACAGCTGCCATTTAACCTTCACTCTTTCTCACTCAAAACTGGATTGACATTTCGTTTCCAAATATTGGAAACGAAATTTGAGTTTCGAGTTTCGTGAGAAACTATATAAGCGAGTTAATTTAAAGAATTGATTAGAGTTATTCATTTTATTGAGTCTACCAATTGGAACTCAGTCTACTAAGGTTTAAGTGATCTAAACCTTTATATTTAGTGAGAATCGTGAGAGTGAGAATCTAGTGAAAAGCCCTTCTTTTAATTCGGATTCCTTTAATAGCTTTACTTTACTTTTTTACCTATTAGATTCATATACCTATTAGATGTAAAGCTAGCTAACTCTTGAACTAACTAATAACTCTATTTAACTTTTGGTTTCTCAATAAGTCTTTGAATATGATCTGACTCATTGCTGGCAATAAAATCTTATCAACTAGCACTCGATGTTATTTGATCAACGAATGTTTTAAGACCCCAACTCCTTTGACGCCATTTCAGCCGAATGACCTCTTTTGCCCGTCGTTCTATTGCCCTTTCCATGTCATTTTACCCCAAGAAATGATTCGTTTTGTTGTAATGTGATGCGTAAGACTCTTTTGAACAAGCGCTTCTTGGTGAGAAAAGATTTAAACATGCAGATTTTGGAAGGAATGTAAAGGGATATCTTGTTTGGGATGAGGGGAAAGAGGAAGAGAAATCGAGATGAGAAATAGAGATCAGAGATACAACAAACAATAGTGAAACACTGGAGTAAACAAATGAATTGCATATTGGTGGATAAGGGAAAAGTTTTGGTGAAAGACTAATTGTCAATGCTTTCAGGGAAATCATGTATCCTTCTACGATTCGCTGAAAACTCTTTTCGAGTCGATCACATCAGCACATTGGGCGTCGATTTCAAGTTGAAAACGATTAAATTGGGCAGAGATCGGATACGATTAGAATTATGGGATACAGCTGGAATGGAGAGGTTCGGAAATGAATATTGGGGATAGGCTAGTTTCCGCAACTGGATCGTTTGCGCAACTCGCCATAACTTTCTTCTAAGTCACCCAATCTTTATGCTTTTGGTTTCATTTTGTAGATCTCAATAAGTGCAGCAAAATGAAACCAAAATCATAAAGATTGGTCCACTTAGAAGAACGTTATGGCGAGTTGCGCAAAAAAAGTTGCGGAAACTAGCCTAGCCCGAATATTGTATTCATAATCAATCATTCATTCAACTTAGAAGAGTTTTACTTAAAAGTTCTGACAAAAACATTCAAACTGGGTTGTCTAGTCGAATTTTGGGATCCATTTTTGTCTTCACTAGACCTTTACATCTCAAAATGTGTCCCTCTTTTGTCATGAAGTGCCCCCAATACTCACTCAATTATTACGCTGTTGTGCTTGCGAATGAATGAGGACAGAGGACTCATCTATTGAGATTTGAGAACCCCAACACTCACTATACCCTCACAGAACTCGTTTCCAAATTTGCATATAAGAAGAAAGTAATAAAAAAGCTAATATCCATTGAAGTAACTTTTCTTTCAGATATCGAACAATCTATAACTCTTATTATCATTCGGCTCATGGAGTTATGTGTGTTTATGATTTAACAAACGAGAAAAGCTTTGAAAATCTCGAGAATTACTGGCTAAAGGTTCATTTTCAACTCAAGAAAGGCTTAATAAATTGAATTTCAAGGAAATCAAGCAACACGCTCCACAAAATGCTGTGCTAATGCTTGTGGGAAATAAAGCCGATTTAGAAGAAGAAAGAAAGGTTCGTTTTCTTAAAGCTAAGGCTTTGGTTTAAGCTAAATCAAAGTTTTAAAAATATATTTCGTAGCCGCTTACGAAATTCAGCCGCTAACGAATGAAATTTTTCGCTAGCCGTTTACGAATGATTGGTTAGCGGCTAGCCAATTACGAATCATTCGTTAGCGGCTGAATTTCGTAAGCGGCTACGACATATAGACTCCAAATTACTTTAGTCTAAAGTTGATTTAATATAAAATATCAATTTCTAGGTTGATTTTGAGAGAGCGGAAAAGTTAGCAGCAAGACTTGGCGTTTCTCTTTACGAGGTTTCTGCGAAAACAGGTTTAAATATCAAAAACGAGTTTCAATATAAAAGAAAGTTTAGGGATTAATTGTGAAGATGCTTTTACAACACTTGCAGGAGCGATGAGAGAACGAGTGATTCTTGCAGCAAATGCGCACTCAGGTAACAATGAAAAATCGATCAATGACAAGAGACTGAGATCAGAATTTAACCAACATTCAGTTTAATAATTTGACTCAATTCAATATAGATGATTCTGATGAAGCGGAGACTTACAGCAGTGCATTTCACATTGATGGAGTGGTGGGAAATGACAAAAAGGTCAGTTACTAGAGCTTTAGGACAAAAAAAACATCTGTGACTTCATAAAATCTTTGGAAAACTATCGTTTCCAAAATGGAAATCAAATAATTTAAGCTATTAAGTGAATCATTCCATTTCCAGAGCACTTCTCAATTGCCTTCTTGTTGCCAATCAGCGCCAAAGCCTGAGTTTGTATAACGTCAGAATCAAAATATCTTTTTCTTTAACTTCAAGACTTATTCTCTACATGTCATTTTATTTTGCTCATCTTTTTTCAAGAAAAAACATTGATGATTATATTACTCGACAATCTCGACTCGACAAATCTTTAGAAAGCCTTATAATGTTCATCTGAATGAATTCTCTTTCTGTGCACAAATTTTCTTTTCAATACGGGTTTTTAAAAAGTTTCTTGATAATAAAAAATTGAATATTTACTGAAAGCTGCTTATAGAAAATAAAAAAAACTGCTCATAGATAGGTTAAAAAGTTTTTAAATAAGTAAAAAAATCAGAAAAGTGCATAGAATAAAGATACCGTAAATACTGTAATAGTACCCCACCCGCTCCTACAGTCACGTAGTCGCAAAAGTTTTTTAGTATTTCATTTTTTCCAAAGCACCCGTACTTTCAAAAAATAGCGCTGAATTTCAGCTATTTTTTGATACCTAAGCGCGCATTGTAGCATAAACCAGTGTCGAGAAAAACTCGTTCAAAGCTAGATTACGCAACGCTCCGCACCGTCATTATCTTTGGTATCAAAAAATAGCCCTGAATTTCAGCTATTTTTTGATACCTAAGCGCGCATTGTAGCATAAAACAGTGTCGAGAAAGCCTCGTTCAAAGCTAGACTACGCAACACTCCACACCGTCATTATGCGGGTGGGTTACTAATAGAGTATTTACGGTAGGTGAATGATTTGATTGGAAATTGGTTGTGGTTGATGGAGTGATTGTGGATTTTCCAAAATTGATCCATTCGTGCGTCGGACAGACCTGGAGTTTGAAAATTAATAAGTAAATGATAAATGCAAATAGAAAGTTAGGTTTTAGATCAGTTCAAGGTAAGATTAATAGTTGTTACTACTAACTTATTGTTAGTAGATTTTGCTACACGAAACACTCACTGGCTGGCAATCCGAGTTTTGTGCCATAAGCCATAAAGATCCAAGAAATGAAAAGTAATGTCGGAATATAGTTAAACATGTTGTTTTCTGTATCTATGACGATTTTTGAAGCTTTTTATTTGATCGCTTAATGATTCATCGCATTGTTTTTTAATGTTTGAAAGTTTTAGTCTAATTTGTTGTTTCTAAAATTTTGACTACACTTTTTTTTGACAAAACGAAAGCTTTAGACTTTTTAAACTCTTTTTAATGCAATTGAACAAAGGAAAACAGTTTTATTAAATATTTTGAGCTATTTTGAAGCTATTTTGAAGCTATTTTGAATCGATTTCATGTGCTTCAACAACTTTATCCTTTTTAGCGATATCTTGGGAGCTGATCGATTGCGAATAAGCATTGGTGTCATTAGTTAAGAGCTTCTGAAAGATTTAAATGATTTAGATTTGATTTTAGACTCAAATTACAATGCTCAGCTTACTTTAGGATTCTTGACTGACGGATTTCGCAAGAAGAACATCATTGGAGCTGCCAGGAAAGTCAGCAAAGCGGCAAGCTGTGTGGTGCTGTAAACATTCAAAATTTCTCCTTAAATTCTGTAAATTCTTTTCGAACTAAACACTAATACTTCAAAAATCACTATCTAAATCCGATTCGATCAACGATTTGACCAGCTGTAAACGGGCCAGCCATTTGAGCAATACAATAGACTGCATCAGCCATCGCGTAGACTGATCCTGAATTTAAATTCTCATCAGAATCTTTCAAATTGCAATAGAATAGTTTAGAAATTGATAATCTTAACGAAAATCTTCCAATTCTTTCTTACCAAATACATTTTGATGTCGAATTTCCACCAAATAGCTTAACATTGGGTAAAGAGCAGAGTCAACAATTGCTAAAAGCAACTTATCAAATGTATTTCTTTTCTAAATAACAAACCAATCATGATTCCAAGGACAAAAAAGGGACCAGTTAACCAATAAAGACTGGGTACAAGTGGTACAAAAAATTGAGAAAGACTCATGAGAGTTAGACCAAGAAGTGCCGTCCGCCATCTATTGTAGAATTTGAAAAGCTAGTTGTTTATTGCTACAATCTTCACTTACCTTCCAATTTTGTATGCAATTGGACCAAAGAAACTAGTTGCAAAGATATACATAATCGAACAAGGAAGATAGATTAAACCTGAATTTGTTTTCAATGCACTGTTCAGTTCAACTTTAATCACTGTCGCTTTCGCTTCACAACTTTATCCAATCCTCGCTTACCTCTTTGAAGCGAGTTCGCTCCAAAATTGTCGATTAACCAAACAGGAATCACTGCTTGCATAGCTGACCAACCAAGATAAGTGAATAAGATGCCAGCTAAAGAAGTTGATAAATGTTTAGAAGCTATTAGTCAGCTACCGAGATTGATAATGACATATGGATCAAAAAGTAAAGCCTTCATTGAACTCGGCTTCTCGTCGGCTTGATTTTTCTCGATTTTTGGGGAAAGCATAATGAGTTGAAGAACTTAAAGTACGAATTTAATGTGTTTTAGAGAATAATTGATCTCTAAGATCTTTCAGATCTTTCAGATCTTTCAGAAGCTTTTCCTTACCGCCACCAATGGCTCCCAATGAGGCGAGAATCAGAAATGGTAGTTCTTTGCCGGCATAATGATATAGAGTGCCTCCATATGGTGGACCAGCCATATCTCCTAGAATTCAGAGTTGAATGTAAATTAGATTTTATTAAAGTCTTCTTTTTAAACCTAATGCTGTTGCTGCCAAAGCGCTTCCAATAGCCCAACTTCGCTCCTTTTCATCAGTGTAGATTTTGGCGAGTAGAGACATTCCTAAAACACTACACTTAAAATTCATTTCTAAAGTTAGAAATCGAGCTTTTTAAGTCACAATTTACAAGCTTAACGAAATGATTGAGAGTCTAAAGGAGAGGTCCGAATTAAGAACGATTCTTACTCAATTGTGGCCTCATTTTCAAGCTGCAACATTTATACCTCAGCTAACTCAACAAAACATTAGTAAAGATTGCTTAAAACTTTCGAAAAATATTATCAAAAGATTCCATTTGAGTTTAATCTGAATTCAGACGTTAATTGGTCTTTTGGATTTGGATTAACGTTAATTTGAACGCTAATTTGGACGTTAATCTGGGCCTTAATTTGGACGTTAACTTGGAAGAACCTCCTGTCGCCGTACAAGCTGATCCGACTCCTTGTAAAGCTCTTGCGATCAATAAAACTGGAAAACTCGTTCCGAAAGCAAAGAGCACAGTTGAACCAGTCATAATAGAAAATCCAATAAATAATGGTAAAGAAGAACCAATTCTAAAATGATTCGCATATTCTAGTCAACCTCTTCGATTCACCGATTTGTAAAATGTCCAACAATTGGATTTGTTAAAAGTTGTAAGCACGCTTTTGCTCCATAAAGAATACTGAAAGAAGTTTAAGCTTTTAAAATTTTGTTTTACCTGAAATAGACGCCGGATTCCATAATTAAATCATGGCGTTTTGCCGATTCATTGGCTGTGACGTTTGTTCCCTAAACATGAGCCAATTAGTGATTTTCATTAGCACTTTTAAAAGTATTATTGTTGTATTTTAGTGAATAAATAACTATTGTAAAATGTAACTCTAAAGTTCTGTTGAATAATCAATTCAACAGAACTTTAGAGTTACATTTTACAATAGTTATTAGGCATTAGGCTCAACCTGACTCAACAAAAATTCAGTCTCGTTTGGGTGAGCGATTCGGAGAAGATATTCAGGGATAATTGGAACTGAAATTCAAATAAACCAAAGATCTATTTGAAACCTACTAATAACAGACATCAAAATGAAATCAAGAAATAGTCCAATGTAGACAATGATGAGAATAGCTGTTCTTGGATCTTTGAAAAGCGCCATTCTTGCGAGAAAGACTCTAGAATTTTTGCTAGAAGTTTCTAAAAAGTTTTCTACACTTTTCCAGAGCAAACTCTAGAACATTTTATAAAGTAAAGATAATAAAATAGCTTTCAGAAACTATCAAATAATTGAAAGGCTGATTAAAAGTAATAAACTTTTTTATTAAACTTATTGCAATGGTTCAAGTAGACATGATGAAATGCTAAAAAGAGTGGTGTGAGATATTTTCTTTGACATTTCTTTTTGAACAATCTTTCAATGACAATTTGATCGGATACGGGAGCGATCAATTGAATCAAAACTCAAATAAGTCAAGCCTAATAGGATTTCAGTATCATTTTCTAGCAAATAATCATAAAAGTGCCAAAACACTTTCTAAAAATAATTTGTTGACAGTTTTGGTGAAGATTTATTTAACTTTGACAACCGCAAAGCAAACTTTATTTACTATTGTTTCTTTAGTACTTTAAATATGTTTAAAATTAGAATTACAATTAGAATAAGGTAGAATTAGAATCGTTCGCGAGACTTATTCCTTGCGAGTAGTGAACGGACTTGATCGCGACGGTTTGAACCGGGTAACTTGAAGTTGTTCCTTTAGTACTTTAAATATGTTTAGAATTAGAACTACAATTAGAATAAGGTAGAATTAGAATAGTAATTAGAATCGTTCGCGGGACTTGTTCATTTGCGAGTGGTGAACTGGCTTGATCGCGACGGTTTGAACCGGGTAACTTGAAGTTGTTCCTTTAGTACTTTAAATATGTTTAGAATTAGAATTACAATTAGAATAAGGTAGAATTAGAATAGTAATTAGAATCGTTCGCGGGACTTGTTCATTTGCGAGTGGTGAACTGGCTTGATCGCGACGGTTTGAACCGGGTAACTTGAAGTTGTTCCTTTAGTACTTTAAATATGTTTACAATTAGGATTACAATTAGAATAGGGTAGAATTAGAAGTAGAAGTAGAAATTAGAATACTAATTAGAATCGTTCGCGAGACTTGTTCATTTGCGAGTGGTGAACAGGCTTGATCGCGACGATTTGAACCGAGTAACTTGAAGTTGTTCCTTTAGTACTTTAAATATGTTTACAATTAGGATTACAATTAGAATAAGGTAGAATTAGAATCGTTCGCGAGACTTATTCCTTGCGAGTAATGAACTGGCTTGATCGCGACGGTTTGAACCGGGTAATTTGATTTACTATTGTTCCTTGAGTACTTTAAATATGTTTAATTAAAATTACAATTAGAATAAGGTTCAAAGAATTCAAGAGACGATTCTTTTAATATCTTATTTACAGTTTTTTTCTTCTTTAGATTATTTATGTCATTCGCAACAAAAATCACTCTTTGTCCTTTGTTGAATAGAGAAATTGCAGTGTCTGGGTGTAAAGCGAGAACGGAAACGGTCCACTTTGAGTGCTTTTCATCAAATGTTTCTCTGATTTGCTTTTTCATTTCCGTTTTGAGCTAAAAAACAAAGACAAACAGTAAAGACGATAATCTATATCTTCTCCATTTCCATTTCCCTTTAAAACGAACACCTGGAAAACTTTACACATAGAACTATAATAAGTTAATCGCCAAACTCCATAAAATTTTCAGATAAACACAAAGAGATCATTTTTTTTGGTGTTTATGTCTGCAAAGGACATTGAAATTTCATTTTTTTGAGTGATGATAAGCAGTTACGAAAAATGTTTTACTTTAATTTTGTTAATAGATCAGAAAACTAGTTTGCGGGGATAGTTTTTGATATTTATGATTGATTGATGAAGGGCAAGGCAAGGACATTGTTAACCAGAGTGTGTTCCTCACGAGTAATGCGTTTTTTAAAACGTACACTTAGGAAAAATTACCATACTTTTAGCGAAAATCATAGCGAAAAAATGGGGGTGTGACAAATGCGATCTTTTTTTTGCGCACCTGGACATTTGCGCACCTTTTTTTGCTGGAAAAGGCCTTAGGAAAGGTCGTAGAGCTTTAAAAATGCTTTCATAGAAGGGAATCGTATGCGTAGATTCCGAATTTCGACAAATCAGACCTCGCTGACACGTCAAATTTGGGCTAAAATGCAAAAACTACGCAACTTAACGCTTTTCCGCAGTTAAGCGAGGTCTGATTTTTCGAAATTCGGAATCTACGCATACGATTCCCTTAAATGGAAATATTTTCGAAGCTCTACGGCCTTGCCTAAGGCCTTTTCCAGCAAAAAAAAGGTGCGCAAATGTCCAGGTGCGCAAAAAAAAGGTCGCATTTGTCCCACCCCCAAAAATGACGAGCCCCGCATTATATACGACACTTTTTAAAAGATACTCAGCCGTTTAACTAATTTATTGAGAAATTCCTTTCCAATGTAAAGATATTGAATTTACTCGTCGTGTAAAGAGGATTACTCGTAGTTACTCGACGAAAAAACGTCGATTAATCGAGTAAAAAGATTACTCATGCAAATTTTATTCGAGTAATTACTTACTCGCAAGGAACACACTCTATTGTTAACAAAGGAGATGAAGGGAAAGAGTTATGGGGACAAAGAAAGGATCAATAGAATATTGATTTTATTGATTGATTGAATTTGATTGAATTAAATTGTTCATTGCAATGATTTGCTTGATTCAAAAGTTCAAATTCAACATTAGATTTCTTTCTTTTTCTAAAAACTTTTGCAATTTTTCAGATTTTCAAAACTTTGCCACTGTTTATTTTCTCAATTCATTTAGAGAAATTGAGTCTATCATTTTCTCCAATTGCTTTTTCATTAAATGGATCGAATCTTATAGTGACTACACGTGAGCGCTTTCTTTCATTCGTTAAAAAGGAAATTTTTCTTCCTTTCTCGCGTGGTTTTCATTTTTTTTTTGACAATTTCTTTATCAAATTTTTATATTTTTATTGAATCCATATGATTTTTATGGTTAAGAGAAGATAAAAGAATTTAAATTCATTTAAAAATAATTGAATGAGATCGAAAAATGGTCAAAAAAAGTAGCACAAATTAGTCTATTTGTTTGAAAGTTAGCAGATAACAAATAAAAATAGCAAAGAGATCAATTTTACTGTGATCGCTTCTAAAAAGATTGATCTTTGGTTTTGAAGAACAATAATCTATGACACTTATCAAGATAAACATATGAAAAAGGATTTAATTGATGGATTGATCATTGATCGGGAATCGTAATGATCTCTGGAGGAGTCTCTGGGTCTTTTTCTTTCTCTTCCACAACAATCCCGTTGATGTCAGTGCCAATCACTGAGATTGTGTTGGTGAGGCGCTGAATCATTTCAATCAAATTGATTAAAGGAGATCATTTCCTGTTTTTCATATGCACACTCACCATTGTTTTGAGAATTGGTGGCTTGCGTAGTAAGAGCATCAATGGAGCGGCGGCTAGAGTGATCCCAACAGCCACATACGTCATGCTAAATGGAGATATGGTGATGAATGAAGATCAGCAATTAGCAAAGGGTTTCAAAAACTGTGTGAAATACAAACCAGTGAAATCCGAGGGTCTCCACGATTTTCCCCGAAGAAAACGGACCGATCACCATTGAGATACAGTACATCGAGTCAGCGAGAGCATAGATTGATCCTGAAATGTTAATGATCATGTTGAACTTCTTGGTTAAACAAACCATAAACATTTTGATGTCTAATCTCGACGAGATATCCCAAAAGTGGATACAGAGCGGCATCAATGAGACCGATCGACAATCCGATCACAGCAAATGGCAGAGTCAAGAACCACATTGAGGGAACGAAGGGAATGAACAACATTGCTGCACCTAACACGAGGAGACCAGAGAAGCTAGCCAGCCATCTGAAAGAAAGATGGAAATTAATTAGAAACTAGAAATGACTTAGTAATCGTTTAAGATAGGCTAGGCTAGGAGGCTAGGATTTTTCAGAGTTTAATGTCTCTTCATGTTTTCTCTCACCTTCCCATTTTTAAAGCAATTGGTCCAAACGAGTTTGTCCCCACCAAATACATTAGTGAACATGGGAGGTAAACGAGACCTGCAAAAATGTTTTGTTATCTTTGCAAATCCTTTATTAACCTCTTTCCATTGCAGTTGCTCCCCAAAGATCGATCATTCGAAGGGGAACGGCTGGCTGAACCTCTGCCCATCCCAAATAAGTGAAAAAGATACCAACTGAAATTGGTTTATGATACATTGGACTTTGACAAAGAGACAAAGAGAACAAAGATACTTACAAAGAGAAATGGAGATGTAGGGATCGGCTAATAGTTTTCTGATTGAACTGGGTTTCTCCTCGCCGATTGGTCGCACGATTTTTGGTGGAAGGATCCAGAGTTGAAGAGCTAAATCAGATTTGAAGAATTTCTTTCAATTATCTTATAGACTTTTATATAGTTATCTTTTAGTTATCTATTTAGACTTAAACACTTACCAGCGCCAATAGCTCCTAGACCAGCCAAGAGAAGGAAGGGCAGCTCCTTGCCAAAAAGTTGATACATCGTACCACCATATGGAGGACCAAGAAGACCACCTAAACTTTTGAAATAGTTTTCTTTTCCTTTATCAATATGATTGTTTAACTTCTAAAATTCTTGTCCAATTTCCTTCATAAATCCTCACCCAAAGCCACTGCTCCCAAAGCAATTCCCATTGCTCGACTTCTCTCTTTTTCCTTTGTGTATACTTCGGCCAACATGCCCATTCCTGAGTTTTCTATGAAATCATTTTTTGAGAAAATTAATTACCGGCAGTCGCTGTGCACGCAGATCCGGCTCCTTGAAGTGCTCGAGCCAATAAAAGTACAGTATAACTCTCGCCGAACGCAAACATCACAGTTGAACCGGTCATGATGACGAAACCAAGGAAAAGTGGGAGTGGATAACCGATTCTAAAAAGAACTAATATTTGATTGCTAGAGTCAGAGATTTAAAGCTAGAGATTGTTATTGTTAATTTAAGTTTGAAGATGTAATATTTGAAACCTGTTAGTCAAAGGTCCGACGAGAGGATTGGCGATGAGTTGAACGAGAGCTTTTGAGCCATAAAGAACACTAAAATCAACTAAAATTGTAAAGTTTTAAAGCTTTTTTCTTTTCCTAATGTTAATTTAAGAAAGCTTTTCATTTTTTCAACTAAAATCTTTCAAAATTTCTTACCTGAAAGTGACTCCTTCGGATTCGATGAGTCGATGTCTTTCGGCGGCTTTCGAGTGATCGGTGAGGTTGTTTTGCTGAAGGAGAGATCAAAGTAGAGAACTCATTTCCCCCATTTTGAATCATTTGTCTTTTTTTTTTTGGTTCAAAGCACGAACTTTTAAGATAAAGTCAGCATCGTCTGGATGCGAGATCCTGAGCAAGTATTCGGGCAAAATTGGCACTAAAGTTTGATTGAAACTTGTACAAAATAGGATTCTGTTTAGGTTTAAGATTTGGTTTTTCAGTTTTCATAAACTTACCGACAACTTGCATCAAGATGTAGTCCAAGAATAATCCAATATAGACAACGATGAGGAGAATTGTCCTCGAGTCCTTGAAGCAAGATGGCTTCAGTGTCATGTTTTGAAGAACTGAAGAATGATTCCCGAGTTGGGAAGCGCTGGAATTTTGCATTCAAATAATTTAGATTAGAATTTGACAAAAAATGAGCTAGTAACAAGTTTAAAAGTGGCAGACTTTTAAGAAATTGTTGACAAGGATATAATTGAAGCTGAGGATTGAGGAAATTCTTATGAAATTAAAGTCTCAAGAAGATGAAGAAGATATTTGATGACAATTCCTGCCTTTTTGTGACAAAAAATTGCACTTACTATGTCATTTGGCCGATGGGTGATCAAGAATGGAGAAAAAGAAACAAAAGAGACAAAAGAGATCAATCAAAAAAAGTGAAAAAGGAGAAAAAACAAGGAAGGACAAAGATTCTTCAAAAAATTGGTTAATTGTAAGGCTAGGAATTTGATTCTAATTAGAAAAAGACAAGTTTTTTACAAAGTTAGCATTCTTTTTTAAGAGTTTACAAGTTTATGATTCAGAATATAGAAAGCTATAGAAAGCTAGACAATGAAATTTCTGTTATCAAATTTGAAGAAAAGTCTCGTGACAAAATCTAACTTTCTATATTCTAAAGATTGATTAAAAAGAAAACAAAGAACAAGATAATAAAGTAGAGAATCCGATACTAGAGTGGTAAAAAATTGGACCCAATTCAGTCTATAAAGAATCGCTGAAGGGGGAGGAGGGAAAGAAAGGGGATGGGCGGATCGGTTATCTATCATCTCCATCCCCCTTTTTTCCTCTGAATGATCTCATATCGTTTCGATCATTTGCGGAAATACAGGGATTTTCCCCAAACTCCAAACTATCCACCCACACTCACGCGCACTCAAAAAGTGTCGATCAAATGGAATTTCAAATTCATGAAAACAAATGAATCAAAGGGAATTCATGTGATCTCTTTGAAAGAAAAAGATTTAAGTGATAAAAAAGTTCGCGATTTATTTCGATCAATCTTAAGAAGATTTTACATAAGACAAAGATGATAAAATGTAGAAAACTTTGGCTGACTTGGGTCTTTTTTTAAAAACTTATTTTAACATCAGCTTTGTCTTTGCCTTGAATAAATGTTTATAAATTTATTTTGGTGAAAAACAAAATGTGATGAAGATTTGGAAAAACTCAGCTGAATGACACGTGAAAGAGACAATTAAAAGAAAGAGTTCAGCGAAGATCGTCTCATCTCAATCGATTAGCCTTGAAGTGCAGAGGATGATTGCGTCAATCATATATAAGAATATGAATGAATATAAGATATAAAATCACATTTTAATGTAGAAGTGATGACTTATTATGAATGAATCACTAAATTGAATGTTCGGATTTTACGCAATAACAGGGGGAGGGCACTTTTCTGTGCCAACTTGCAGCTCATTTATAGGCATCTTGCACTTGTTAGATCGTCAAGTTTTAACAAGATTTAGATAGCTTAGAACATCGGCTTTCAGAAAATATTAGTTTGATCAAAAGTTATCAACAAAAAACTTCACTAAAATATTGGGTTGGTGAATTGAAAGCTGCGGGCTATTGTCATAATTGACAGTTTGAGCACTTTCTTCAAAAGAAACCCATTTTGGTGTCAATGGAAAAGTTGTAGAGAATCAAAAATCAAGCTTATATCCAAATTTTCAGAACGATTCGAAAACTGATTTTCAAGAGGTGCCAAATTTACGAATTTTCACAAAACTTGCATTTTAAGCGAAACTACTAAGTGTATCTTTCTGGAAATTTGGCTATAAGCCTAATTTTTGATTCTCTACAACTTTTCCATTGACACCAAAATGGGTTTCTTTTGAAGAAAGTGCTCAAACTGGGACATCTCCAGTCCTCCATTTTTGAGTCTCACACTTGTCTCACACACAAACCAAAATCCTACTACGAAAGAGGAATCCGCAAATTGCCTGTAAAATGGGCAGAAGTCGTCAATAATAATGGAAATTATTTGGAATGAATTGATGGTTTTCTGTTGAATAAATTTTAGTTCAAAGTCCCGCAGTTTTCAATTCACCAACCTAATAGCACCAACAAAGTTCAAGCACACAGTTGATGAAATCTCTTTGATTTTAAGCTTGTTTTTACATCGACAAACCGCTTTTCCAATTGTTCACCAACCTAAAAAGCTTCATAAAATGTTCACTATTCACACTAATCGCTTTAAATCCAAGATCGCAATCACATTTCCAACTATTATGGCCTTTTGCATTTGTTTGACAAGAATTTCGATCCTAGCGATCGTTTCTGTCCAAAATTGAAACAAGTTTGACTCAAAAGTTGTTTAATATAAAGGTTTTATCCAAAACATAGCATTTGTTTTGATCATTTGTGCTTAAATCTTTCTCACCAACACATGAAACTTTATTCCACTCGAATCCGGGAAAGCAGCCACACCTGTCATCCGTTGATCTCCAATGCTCCAGACAAACCATGAAAATGCATTCTGGATTTATTCAGGAATAGAATTGATGCCTACAATCAAGCGGATTCATTCCAAACTTCAATTTTTCCACAGTTGCATCAATATACTCCTCTCGTGTTTTCGCAAATTCCATCAAGTCCGCATATTTCTAATCATTAGCGTACTAGCGTCAATATCATAAGCAGTTTTATTAAAGAAATTCTTGAAAAGTAACCAACCCTTTGAGTAAAGTGCTTGCCTCACATTAATCGTTGTGAAATCGATAGGCTCGCAAAAGAAAGCTTCTTGATGAAGTTCATTGCTCACTGGGATCGACAATAGCATTTGAAATCTACAGAGGACAATGAGAAAAACAACTCTAAAATAAGGGTTTATAATAAGAACTTGTTCTTACCATTGAAGCTAATTGACCCTTTTTTGCCCTTAATGTAGTAGCTTTTAAAAACATAGAAGTAAACAGTAAATTAGAGAAAGAACGGCTATGGTTTACCAAGAAATTGCGACTAAATGAGTCAATTCAGTAGTTTAATACATAAAAATGTGGGTCATTTGATAAATTTCTTCATCTAACATCTCTTTCTATTAAATTTTATCTTATGCAAATAGTCTTAAAGCAGTTAGAAGCTTGTAATTTCATTAAAAGTTTAACTGAAGGTGCGTAGATTGATCGATTGATTATCGAGAATTTTTCTAATAGTAAGAGAGGTTAAAAAACTTCAGTCATGGTTACAAATGGAGTCCTTATATCGACTCTAGCTTAAAACTTGTCCAGGTTTGTGATAACTTTATAGCTACCAACTGTTATATTTTTTGTGACAATCTATAAAATTTCAATAGTCTCAGGAATGCTTGTTTTATTTCACATATCGTCGGAAATTTTAACTTATTAGAACATTCGGATCTTACGCAATAACAGGCGGGGGGGCACTTTCTTCAAGTTATGTTTTAATATTGGGTTGGTGAATTGAAAACTGCGGGACTTTGAACTAAAATTTATTCAACAGAAAACCATCAATTCATTCCAAATAATTTCCATTATTATTGACGACTTCTACCCATTTTACAGGCAATTTGCGGATTCCTCTTTCGTAGTAGGATCTTGGTTTGTGTGTGAGACAAGTGTGAGACTCAAAAATGGAGGACTGGAGATGTCCCAGTTTGAGCACTTTCTTCAAAAGAAACCCATTTTGGTGTCAATAGAAAAGTTGTAGAGAATCAAAAATTAGGCTTATAGCCAAATTTCTAAAAAGATACACTTAGTAGTTTTGCTTAAAATGCAAGTTTTGTGAAAATTTGTCAATTTGGCATTTCTTGAAAACCAGTTTTTGAATCGTTCTGAAAATTTGGATATAAGCTTGATTTTTGATTCTCTACAACTTTTCCATTGACACCAAAATGGGTTTCTTTTGAAGAAAGTGCTCAAACTGTCACATATGACAATAGCCCGCAGTTCTCAATTCACCAACCCAATATTTTAGTGAAGTTTTTTGTTGATAACTTTTGATAAAACTAAGATTTTCTGAAAGCCGATGTTCTAAGCTATCTAAATCTTGTTAAAACTTTACGATCTTTTATTTAGTTATTTAGAAAGAAATACATTTGACAAGTTGCTTTTAGCAATTGTTGACTCTGCTCTTTATTCAATTCCCCAACCCAATATTTTTGGTTGTAAATGTATTCTGTAACTGTACTTTATACCAAAAACATTTTATTTACACAAATGAAATTAAATAATTGAATAATCTATTTAAAATTTGATCTCCGCTTTCTCTTAATCGTATGCGAAGGGACTTCACAAAGAGCTTCATCTTGAAGACATTTCGTTCTTCCCGGACAATCATCATCTTTTTGACAAGGATCACCGATTGTATAGATTTTTCTGCCCTCAGGTCCATTACCTCTGTAAATTTGATTTGCAAAGAAGATTCTTGATTTCAACCTTGGTGTGTACTGACACACGACATACATCCAATCATTGCACTGATTCATTCCGCAACCCAATCGGAAAGATCCATGCCAAGCCATCTGAAACAGTCTTTTTTTCTTCACTAACTTTACACTGATTAGTTTGATTGTTATAGTTTTTTTTTCTAGTTAAAGATTATAAAAATGATTTTATCAATAATTTACCTGTGTATAATGCCCTAATCCTTGTTTCAAGAAGTCGTACAAAAAAGTCGTGTCATTTCCGATTCCGATGCTCTCCACCTCACGCCACCAAAGGAAACTCGACTGAAATGGTTTATTCTTTGATTATTCGCGACCCAGAGCATCTGTCGCTGTGGCTTAGATGGGAGCGCGTTTGTTTGCCACCCGCTGGGCCATGGTTCGGCCCACCTTGCTGCCATTCGATTTCTTTTAAAATTTTTGATTTGAAATGGCACAACTACAATAAATCCTAAGGTTTTCTAAAGAAGTTTTATTGGTCAAAACAAGGCTGAGAAAAGGCTTGGACAGACGGACAGACGTCTATAGTAAATCTGAAGAGCGAATATCAATTACTCACAAAAGTAGCGTGTTCTGTGTCACTTCTATTTCCTGGGATCCAAGCCAAATTTTCTCCAATATCTAGTTTTCTTCTTGTGTAAGC